CGCTGAGACGCACCGGGGTCCTCCAGGGCCTTCAATTTCAAGCCCTCATAGCACTGCCATGACATAGACAAAGAGATCAGACTGATCGAACCTGTATAAACCCCACGGATCCAGAAAGACTGTTGCTGAACTACACGGGGATGTCGCCTCTGTAAAAACTGTTGGTCCTCTTCAATACTTTTAAGTGTTTTTTTTAGGTGTATTTTGTAAAACGAGCAATTACAGATGTTTTGAAAATGCCAAATGCTGTATATACCTGTAAATAGACATCATTAACACATGGGCACTCTGCCGGGGAGATGGATAAATGCAGAGAACTCTGCCAGAAAATGTTGCTATTTTAATATCCAAAATTGTATCGACTCACAATGTGCATTTCCTTGTTTTTGCTGTACACGCTACAATTGTGACAGACCTTACGCTTCGAATGAGTATCATTTCCTGTTTTGCTCCTGTCTAATTTCATTGAAAGTGTGGCAACGTTACTGCTTCAGAAATGTTTGCTTTCACTCTCCTGCGTGTGTTTGGGCGCTCGGTTTTTCGCCTGAAACCCTGCACTCGACAAACACCGTGCTGATGTACCACTGCCGCGTAGCAACTTGCTACCTTCAGGATCCTGTCCTGGGTCCTGTCACACTTGACCGAGCCAGCAAGACGTGTTTAGAACCACTGTCACACATTTCCTTTTTCAAGGTATCCCGGGTGAAACCTGTTTCCCTTACAAAAACTCTGGCCAGGTTCTCCATTCTGCATTCGCAACTGGACAATTGTAGCATATTGTTAGGAAACGGCCACGTAAAGTGCATTTACCTACGCAGATTAAAAATGCATAATTTCACCCACAGACATTAAGGGGGAAGTGGATTCCTGAAAGATAGTAAAGGTTTTTGTAATGGATATCAAATATAGTATTTTGCAACATTTCAAGACTTTGTATCTCCATTATTTTTAGTATATTACTAAAGCTATGCATTTTTTACTATTATCTTTGCAAAAAATAAAGATTTTAAAAATCAGAGCATTTACATTGTGTGTTCATTATTTCCACACTGATGTCAATACAGAAAAAGGAGAATCAAATTAAAACACAGGTATCCAGAAAAGGCAAACCTCATGGTTTGGGGGCTAACAAAACAATGATAATAAAATATTTTCTCAATACGTCACTTTTCCATGGGTAGATATACAATGAAGTAAGCTTTAGGGAAAAGAAAGACGTTTGTGCATGTGAAGGAGTGATTTGCATTGGGAAAGACTGGAAAAGGATTGGATTATTGTGATAATCCAGTAACTTTGTTAATCTTTTAGTACATATACCATGACTAGAAAAAGTATTGACCCTCTTTGGCATTTTTCACATTGCATGTTCTTTATTTTCTTATCATGGAATAAAAATGGATTTCTTAGTGAATTCTTACCACAGCACAAAATACTCTATAATGTCAAATAAAAATACAGACCAGCCAGGTGGGGCTATGTATTATTATTATTATTATTATTATTATTATTATTATTATTATTATTATTATTAGTAGTATTATTCAAACCTGTCTTCACACTCTCTAGTGTTCTGTCTACCTGGCTGTATAACCAACAGGGTGGATAAGGATTGGTGGGTAAGGTGTTGCCTCCCAGTATAGCTCTAAGAACACTGTCTCACTACGATGAAGAGCACACTTTCTCCCTTCGTTTCCTAACAGCTTTACAGATCTCCTCAAACATGGAAAGAGGGAACAGGCATTCGGGAGGTCCAGAAGGAATCTGAGAGGCGCCTGGGTGACGGGGGGCAGTTTGTGTCCAAATGATTGTATCAGTATTAGTCGTCTGTATTACACACAGATCCGTTTGGCCTAGATCAGGGTCTTCAGTGTCCCTGCTGGCTTTGTGTTGGCAGCTCTGAGTGTGTGTGGCGTCGAGCGCCTTGTGTATGTATTTGATGACGAGGGGCGAGTGTATTAAAAGTGTCTTGATGGTCTGGGTGAAGGTGGTGGTGGAGGGGAGTCCCCATTATCTGTAAAGCGCTTTGAGTGGGAGTTTGTAAGGAATTTTATTATTATTATTATTATTATTAAAAACAACTGTCCATCTGTGTACAACTAAAACATTTCAATTCATTTCAAAAGAAATACCACTGTCTGTGAGAGTGCATTTCCAAACAAGAGCTTCTTCATAAAGATCACAGCACTCAAAGACAATCTGAGGGAAGGCTCATGAAAAGCACCCGTCAGGGAAAGGATATAAGATAGAAAATGAGATATAAGATGCAATGAATATCTCACTGTACTGCACTTTTCCAAGTATACATCACCTATATGTAACAGAACTGAATCTGGTACAGGAGTGGTGTCACTTTCACAGACTCGGCACAGGTGAATGGCACCATGAAAAGTTCCTGCTGGGACACTGAAAACTATGCTGTTACCAAAAAGCAAAAGTTGTTACTGTCTCAAATTCCTGATCTCGAGATCAGAGAGGTGCACTTGTCACACCAGACCATTTCGCTGACATTGTTCTTAGACTTCTCTATCTGTATAAATCTGTTTTGGATATTATGCTTTCTGTTTTGCTAAAGTGATACTCAAAAACCTGAATTCCAGTCAATACAGTGGAACGGGGGACCACTTTCTTGGGGTGTTAATCAGTAAAGAACCTTTCATTTATCTGTTCACCTCTGTTTACCTGTTTCTGCATTTATTTCTTGGTTTCAAAAATTCCTTCCGACAGTTCCAGCATACAGAATATTACTGTCTCTCTTCAACTTATTTATTACGATTTTGCTCTCTCACCCTAAAGTACTATGTTTCTGGTGAAGAGACGAGGGTGGGAATGACCAAGTGTCAGACACTTCCAGGATTTCTTTCCTAAGGCTGAGGACCAGTTTGTTACGTTTCAGCAACGTGGTTAAATAAGTGAAGGGACAACACCAGTTTAAAAAAGAAAACAACTTCTTAGGATAGAAAATTGACATAAAATATTCTACAATCAAAAATGTGGTTGTGTCTTTGTTCAACATAACCAGAAGACGTGGGTTGGTCAGGACCAGGATTTGGAAGAGTGAACTAGGATATAAATATTAATAGGGGTAGTGAAATCTGGCACTTCCATTTCCTGGGATTACAGAATTGTGATCCTTCCGATAAATTGTTTATTAAATTGACCCTTAAGTGCCTAATTATCACTTTGATGGTTCATGATTAGCTGTAGGAAAGTATTGTCATAGCCAGCCTGGAATCCAGGTGCCAACTTTTGACCTTGTAATAGTATTACAGAAGAAACATAGAACAGCAGTTCCACCTAGTGGTTACACACTGTACCTTGAAAAAGTATTCAGCCCCTTACACAGTTCTTACATTTTGTTGCTTTAAAGCCTGCTGTTATCACGACACTAGAAATATATATTTTAATATTTGTTGTGTACACAACACCACACATTTAAAGCAAATAGAGAAAAAGAGAAGTAAATAGGCAATATGAAACACAAATGGAAAAGGCATGATTGCATAAGTATTTAAACCCTTTACTGTGTCAAATCTAAAATTATTTTGGTGCACTAAACTACTTCAACTAACTGGGTGGCTTCTTTGTGAGCAATTATATATTGTACTTCACAAGATTTCAGAATAAAAAAGAATTGCGCTATAACGACACACAACCAGGTACTTTACAGATGAAGGAGCTTTTTAAAACAACTCAGGGATAAAGTGGTATAAAGACACAAATCAAGAGCACAGTGATGTTAATAATTAAGAAGTGGAAGACACTCAGACACTGCCTAGATATGGAGTATTTTATTATTTTTTAACAATCTTCTTTATGTTAACGAAATGAACAAAGATGAATGAAAATATTTAACATATTGAATAGAACAATTCATAAGTTCCCATAAAAAAATCAACATAATGGTAAATAACAACCTTAGTTTACACTTAATTGGACTAATTGCTCTGATTACCTCCACTAAAATGTTATTTTATTCCTAAAAACAATAAAGTTGCATATTAAAAGATTTATTATAAAACACATTGATTAAAAAAATATTCTGATTTTATAGTCACTCAGTTACCCATATAGTCACCAAGTACAGTAATTTCTGTATTGCCACGTTTCACTAGGAATGACAACGCCCAAGATCAAAGCGTGATGAACTGTTATGGAGCGGAATTTGTCTTAACCCGCTTGGCTGAGGACCTCCTGGCCACAGGACAAGGGGGCCAGGACCCAAACGCTGGGCAACCAAGGGGGCGCCACAGAGGTGGAGTTGGGGTGGAGGTGGGATGCAGAAAGTCGCACGCGAGGGAGAGAGATATCATGTTGGTATTTATAGCATTTGGTGGAGGAAGGATGAAGGGCGTGATTGCTAATTACTGACAAATGGGAACGATCGAGCGTGGTTGTTGTCATCCCTCCCGAACTTTCGTTAGATAAACTCTATATATTGTTTTGTTAATTCTGACTAAAAAATACAGAAAAAGATCATGAAAACAAAATACATCTGCACTTTATCTAATATTGTTTCAGATTGTAATTAGCTGCTTACTCTAAAATAAGAAAGTACATTTATTATGACCATGAATAATGAGATCTGAATAACTATACTATTTTTATCAAAAATAAAAAAAAAATTCTCCGAGGTGTGTGTAGATAGTGATTGTTGTGTAGCACACTTCAGTTAAAGAACACACTTTAATGCTCAGCAGTGACACTAATGTGGCAGAATAATATAGAGAACATTACATAGCACTGATGCAAAATGTAGAATGAAACAAACTGAAAGATTTCAAAGAGAAGTATTTAACTGGATACTCAATCTTAAACTGGCCAGCAGTCATATCACCCTGCAACTCACAACTAGCAGCCCACTGAAGCTCAGCAGGTGTGAGCCTGCAGGTGTGAGCCTGGTCTGTACCTGGATGGGAGACCTCCTGGGAAAAACTACGGTTGCTGCTGGAAGAGGTGTTAGTGGGGCCAGCAGGGGGAGCTCACCCTGTGGTCTGTGTATCCTAATGCCCCAGGATAGTGACAGGGACATGGCTGCTGTCGCATCATCCAGGTGGATCCTGCACATCGGTGGTGGTGGAGGGGAGTCCCCATTACCTGTAAAGCTTTGATTGGAGTGTCTGAAAAGCCCTATATAAGTGTAAGCAATTATTATTAAATGAAAAATACAGAGAGCACTGCTCTGTGTCCTGCAGTCATGGGACACAACACATGTTCATTGGTCTTCTTCCAGGGGTATGATTTCTATGTAAAAATCTGCAGGTTCAAAGCTTTACAGGACTCCTTCATCCTCTCAAACTCTTCTGCAACATCTACAGATAAAAGCAGTGAATTATTAAGTCAAAATAAACAAAACAGATGTCTTAAAATAGATATCTAGTGTAAGTCAGCAATACCGTGAATTTATCATAATCTATATACGATAGATCAACAGATGACACCATGACATTAACTATTTTTTGACTCAGCAGCTTTGGACTAAGCTAGAATTAGGTAGTTCAGTGGGTGACCAATCTGAGATACTGTTTGATGTGGCTTTAACTAACTTTACTGAGGGAATCACATCCCAGACATGAGGAAAAGGCTACTTACAATGCAATCTGAAAAAAAGCTGCTTTTTGTTGAAATCATAGCAATCTAGTATTAATTTTAGGAGGGTTTTAGATGACTTGTTCTGTCACTCTTCCATTATGAATTCCTCACCTTGTACTCTAATCTCTTTACCCCTGTCACATGTATTACATGGGTCTGACTCTCTCTTTGGTGCTCTCTCAAACTGCCAGTCTGCCACAAACACACTGGTTTAATTCCCGCTCATGGAACTCATCTCTTTCATGACTTTCTCTCTCTGAAACCTCAGACGACATCAGCTGCTTCTCTTCCTCATACAGTAGCTCCTCTCTCACTCTCCTGTCCTTTCCTATTCTCAGCTTGCTGGCACTTGTCTGCCTTGTACTGTCTCTCTCCAGCGATACAGTGGAGTTCCAGGCTGCAGATCTCCCCACGGCGAGCTTCTTCAGTGTCCTCTGTTCCCCCTTCACTCTTCCTCTCTTCTGTTTGGGGTATTTTTAGCATTCACCTGTCTGACACCCTTCACTCAGAGAGCTCCCTTTTCTCTCCTCGATTCCTGTTTCCTTTCCACAGGCTGGGCGTCAGCTGGACTCCCCCAGAGACGGCTTTCCTTCCTCCCTCTGTTCCTGCTGTAGCCTGACCTGATGGTTTCTTCATCTCTTTCACCCTCCATGAGCCTGCCACAGGCACTACAGATCCCATCCCCCTGTTCCTTTCCTCAGACGCAGTCTTTAAAGATGTGACGTACTCCACAGGCCTTCTCTTTCCTTTCTAATCCATCAGTTTATACAGTATTTCTCTTGACCTTCTTTCCCTCCACCTTCTCTTCCACTTCCATGGCCTACAATTTTACCTTAAATCCACCTCATTTTAATTTTCCTTTTAGCATATTTCCTGTCACACTCCTGTTGGGATTTTCAGTTCTTCCATGTAGCTGCCTGGTTTTCACCAGCTACCTAACGGCTGTCTTTAACTTCACGTTCAGCCTGCACCAGAGCTGGCTGTGGATTATATCAATAAATGTGATTCACTTTCTTACCTGGGAAAGAAATATCTCCTGGAATTTGTCTTAGATACAGAGTAAGTGAAGTACTCATTTCATTCTGCAGTCTGTTTACAATTATCTCCTAAAGAGAGCAGAGAAAAATCTGATGTATCTTTAAAATGAATATGATGTTATTAACTAATTTCTGTTATTAAATAAAAAACATGAATAACAATATTTCAAACAGGAGATAAATGTTTAGTCTTTACTTTGTAAATTCAAAACACTGATAGAAGGTTGAATGACTACTACTTGAACTCATCTGGCATTTTGTAAAAGAAGTGAAGGAGGACTGGCAAAATCCAATACTGATTCAATAAATAGGAAGACAATGTGTTTTTATAGTTACGAATGGTTATAATTTTATAACCAAGTTAATTAACTCAGTTTTCATTATGCATATATGTAGAGTTAAAATATCTTCACCCATCAGTTATTTTACCAGTCTTAGTAGAACTGAGCAAAGTCTCAAACACTGCAATCTGAAAACTTAAATTGGCAGGGTGTACGTCAATTGAACACAAACCTTCATGTCATTAAACTGCCTCAGCATCTCTGTCTTTGCTTCCTGAAACATGCATGTTTTCAGTGACTCAATCTGGGTTTCAAGAACTGCTTTAATCTTTGATAAAGTAAAGGTTCCAGTAATGAGTGCTCCCTCTGAAATACAAAAGTGTCGTATTATATTAGTTTTGTTAGTTTCATGTAGTATTTCATGTAAACATAATTTTTGTATAATAGCCTGTATCGATTTCATATAAATATTTCACTAGGAACAACAACATCCAAGAATTCAATGCTTGTGAATGCTTGGAATATTTGTTGCGGTAGGTATTGTAATGGGAGCCAGTCCTGAAGTGTAGTTCAGGACCCTGTGCAGACAGTATAATCCGGAAGTAAGTGGAGAAGGACACCCAGGGAAGGTACAGAAGGATTGGATGGGTTGACAGACAGGGGGGCGTGACGACAGTGATGTGGTGCTCAGGGGTCATGGCAAGGGCAAAGTGGTCCAGACAGTCCAAAAGGGGGAATCCGGGGCGCAGTCCAAAGTCCAAAACCAGAGTATCCAACCAAGACGAAACAAACACAGTTAAAAACCTTAACAGGGATAGGGAATAAAACCAGGCTAACGAGGCCAGGCGCTCCGAGCCCCGGACTCAGACAGTCAGGACTCCGTGATAAAGCCTGTGCTGTCGGGTCTCTCCTGGACCCGCTGGTAGGCGGGCTTCCGGGCGTCCATCTCCCAGTGCTGAGCCAGGAATAGCAGGAGCACCAGCATTAAATAATGAGACACAAAACAGGTGGCAGGTGCACATAATCAACCAAAATACCAAAAGGCTGGAGCGCCCTTAAGAGGAGAGATTACGATCGTGACAGGCATCCCTTAAACTTTTTTATCATCAGCTTTTGTCAATGGGATTTTATAGATATATATGTGCATCAAAGTTTTAAAAGATGCTGTAGCTGTGTTCTTCTTACCTTGGTAAGCTGAAAGCATGGCATTCTTGACTGAATCACTCAGGGAATTATAGATGTTTTTCTTCTTATTAAGAATAATCTTTTCCAAGTCACTCAGTAAATGTCTCAACTAGAATAAAACCAGAAAACACTTTAGGTTATAGGATATGCGAAACAGAGAAGTCTGCTCATCTGGTCATTTTATTTGAACAGTTTTTTTAGTTTCACGGTGCATTGTTAGTACAAATGATTGCAATTTGTACAAATATAGCATTTAATATTTGTCTAACATTAGCATCTCATATTTCTATCATGTAAGCAAGCAAAGGTTACTTCAGCTTAGGTGACTCAATATATCCATCATCTCATGAAATCTTTCTTAAAAGAATTCTCCAGTGTTTTGCCGTAAAAAACAGGCTGCCCCTCACCTCAGTCTTAATGCACACCAGACGTAGGTAAGTTGGAGAATTCTTGTGATGCTTCAGCCATTCACTTGAGACAAAGTCACACTGGAAACTGTCAAGGTTTCCCTTGATTGATTTTCGTGTGCCTCTGTCAAATCTAAAGTAATAAATACATTAGTATTATGTTTGTAAATAAAAATTAAATACCAAATTTTAGTAAAGAAAATAAAATAGTAAAATGCATCATAAAAGTTGGGAAAACAGAGCATATTATCAGTAGAGATATTCTTAACGTACTCACCTGAAGGTGCTAATAAAGATGTGATTTACCTTCTCATACATAGGTTTTGACAGAGTGTAGTTCAGATCAACAATATTTCCACTGGCAGATCTGAAACTTCCAGCATTTGTGCATAAAGCTTTGAGAGTCTTGTGATAACCTCTGGGGTCTTTCTGTTGCTGGAATTAAAAAGATAAAACACTCATAATATTCTACAAAACCAAAATTTTCTGACATCATCAAGTCCAGATACCTGAGAAAAATTGTCAGTTGCAGTTTAATTTTTAATTTTAAAAGTTAAATTATGATATGCTTCATATGGTAAGAGTAAACCCAGCTAGACTTCTGCTGGAAAAAGTAATTATTAGTAAAGTCTTATTTAAAGAAAAGCTAAGGGGCTGCACTTTCACAACCTGCAGAAATCACAGGCGGTGAAAACATCACTTGTCTTACTGGCTCCAGGACTTCGTTATTGGCAGTCTTCACGCAATTTTTTTCTGCTAGTTGTGCTCCTTCCTGTAAGTACTTCCCAAGATCACTGTAAGAAGTGTTTAAAAACTTTTTCAGGGTGTCACACATCTTCTCCAGGTTCTTGCTTAGCAGTTTGAACAGTTTATCATCTTCATTCTGAAAATTTACATAATGAGCATTACAGACATTAGTGTGCACAAGGAACTCATATAAAATTTACATTTAAAAGATTTAAACGTTAGTAGTAGAATATAAATGGCATGCTGAAATATTAACTTAGATTAGGTCATTTATGAACATAAGGCTGCAAACTAGTGGAAGAAGCTGCTTGGCACATCTAGCTCTTTTGATAGCTTTTTGATAGCTCAGTATCTAAATGAATCTGAAATCTCATCCAGCCTTTTGTTAAAGGAGTCCAGAGTTTGATCCTCAAACTACTGGGTGGGAATCCTGTTTTAGATACCAACTCCTTGTTAAGGAAATATTTTATATTCTGCATCCAATTTAATTATATTTTCCATTTGAGTCAAATGCAATGTAACATTGATCATTTCAAAGTGATTCACACAGGAAGTAAGAACATTCAGTATGTATTACATGGTTGTTTTTTTTAGTTGTCTGAAGCTCTTCATGAAAGGGATCTGGGTGCTACATGTGGAATCTTCTAAGTCTTATCAAGATGATGTGTGAAAGAAATGTTTATATCAAAGGAAGTACTGCTCAAACTTTACAAGCCACTGTTAAGACCTTGTATTGAATTTTATGCTCATTTTAGTCACCACAATAAATAAAAGAATTTAAAGAAAACGTTTAAGAGTAACAAAGATGACTCCTTGTCTCAGGGAATTATCATGTACAAGTCAAAAGAATACTAAGAGTCCAGAAGTAAATTAATGGGGATGTTCAAGTAGGGAGCTGCGTCAGCATGCGCAGGCTGCAAAGGAACAAGTAAAGGTTTATTCCATAATGAAAAGAAACAACATTTCACCTTTGGAGCCTTCTTTCTGAAGAACTTTTCTGTTCTTTACTTTTCACCATGGAAAGAACCCTTACTTGTTTACAGTGAAGACACACAGTGTAATTAACTCTGGGGACTATTTTAGGCTACATAGTGAAACAAGAACTATAAGGCAAGAAAATAAAATCCACATTATATTATACGTCATATAATCCATGCTAATTTATTGATCACATTGTAAAAATAAAAATAAGAGTTTTGCACTGCCTATACTTTTTTAGGATACTGTATTTTGAAAAATTGAATAATTCACCATCTAAATGGCATAGCAGTTGTGTGAGGAAGACACATCTTTAACTGACCTGCTTGCTCATTATGGAGACATTTTTGTGAAACCTAACATGTTATAATATTATGTTTACTTGTTATTCATTTGTAACCATGAGTTACACTAATATATATCTAATAGGAATGAATAACATATTGCACATTTGTACCTTTCTGCTGCGTTTCTCCTTTGCCAAATGCAGATATGAAACAATCCCAGAGACATCTGACACATAGTCCCTGGCAGCTTTCTCACAGTGTGTCACGTACAGCTCCTTGATGTGTTCTTGAAGTAAAGGTATTTCTAGAAAAAAATTAACATATTCTAAAAGGTGGCATGTTTAATCTCGCCTTTAAGGTTTTACATTATTCTAAACAGAAAATGAATCACTGTACCAGCCTTCCACATTATTTACTCACGTTTCAAAGACAAATGTTTCTATTTCTGTTTTTGACTTCTTACATGAGGACAAAGTTGAAAGTCCAGACAACTGTAACCTGGCATTTCAACTTGTTAAAGCAAAGTGACCATAGAAAGTTAATGATTAATGGTATATTAATGATACAATGTATATTACATTTCTTAAAGTGTCATATGATTACATTAACTACTTTGTCCAGTTCAGGGGCCAGGCTCAGCACTTCCAATGCAGGGACGCTAGAGCCTATCCTGACAAGGCAGGTACACCCAAGGCAGGTACACCCTGAACAGGACACCTGTCCATCACATGGCACACACACACACCCAAGGGCAACTTTCCCAGACCAATTATCCTTTTTCTGGACAGTTTCTGGCCTGGGAGAGAAACACCTGGATGAAACCCATGGGAACATGACGAGAACATACAAACTCCACACATATAGTACCTGAGATCTGGAAATGAGCCCAAGGCCTCTGCACTGAGAGGCAGCAATGCTAACCACTGTACTACCATGCCACCCCATATGATAACAGTATTATCTATAATAATATGATAGTAATTCTGCTCCTAAAAGGTAGTGTTTGAGCTACCTGAGACAAATTGAGTTGAAAATTGTAGTTGTTAACCTTAAATTGTATTATTCAGACCACCATTATTTTTTTTAAATAATGATAGGTTTCCTGTTTCCTATGAATTATATATACACACTATTCTTATAGTACAAGATGAAAATCCTATGTTACTCTAAAGTTATCAAAAAGCCTACACAACCTGTCCTACAGACTCTAAATTCCTACCAGTGTTGTTGAGATCCAGGATTGTAGATCTTCCTTGTTTATTTTTCCAGAACTCTTTGGAACTCACTGTATATATATCAAAAACATTGTCTTTTTCTCCACTTTCACCAAAGAGAAATCTCTGAAAGAAATAGGTTTAAATAATAGTAGTTTTGGTTTTCGGTGTAGTAGCAGAAATAATGCTGGTCATAAAGAAACAGTTATGGAGGAAGTACAAGATTTGTTTCCTGCAATTTATGCTTGCATTAATCTCCTAATATTGTAGTTACTTCTCATTTCAAATCAACGGAAAACTGCAATTAAAGTTTAGGTCAATTGTTTACAAGTGACTAAAGGTGAAATTAAGTTTTGATTTAACCTGCTCTCATAATCAATACCTTTAAAAAGAATTATAATTTCGCTGTGGCACGGCTCTTTACTAGAGGCAGCAGCGGTGTTCAGGCCGAAACCCAAGAGCTTGGGGGGCTCGGAGGGGGTTTCCGAGGTTTCCGAGGGAACCCAGAGGCGGAGGGATTCGGAGCTTGCCGGAGAAAGCCGAGGACACAGCAAGGAGAAGGGCTGCCGGCTGGCTACAGGCTGGTGTGTCTGTATCAGCGGTTTGATCCAGAGACTGAATGCCGACCTGCAGCAGACTGGTTTTGCTGTTGAAGTCGCAGCGGGCTGCTGCGGACAACACTGAGCGAGGGCTCATGGTCCGGGGTTTCGCGATCCAAAAGAGTGTGGCAGCACGTCTAGTGGGAATCACTGCCACTGGTAGCCCAATTCATTTCCAGTCGGGATTAGACTGGAAATGAGTGAATATGGATTAAGTGGATGATTGGGCCCCTGACAGGCAGGGGAAGGGAGACTGGGACCAAAATGCGACTGGACCGTGTCCCGAGAGCCACGGGACTACCCGTCTCCTGGGGCAACCACGTGGACCCCAGTGTGACAACTTTCTATACTTTTCCTGACCCGCTAACTGTAAATATCTGTACTTTACAGTGGGTGTAAATGATGAAGTGAAAGTTACATACAGTACTTCAGGTCACTGAAACAGCCAGTTAATAAAATCGTTGCAATTTTGTTCTTGTTTAGAGGTGGGGATATTCTGACAACAATTGATTTAAAGACAATCTGTCAAAGTGCAATGAAACAATAATTATGCTGGGTGAACGTTCCGAGGTCAAATTGTTCCGCGACAGGGGTACCTTTAAAGCGCAGACACCGGCACCGAAAAATTTTGGCGCTCCCTCTCTTTAAAGCCCTGGCCAAATACGCAGTACGTACAGTTATAATTCAAACTGAATTAAAAACTACTCCTGCAGAGAGTGATGAAAACCGCGCAGCGTCAGGCAAATGCACATTAATATGTTGGGCTTTTGGGTTCCTGAATGTAATGTGAGAGGATGTTTTTTTTAATATATTACTTCTTGAGCATTTTTTTATTTTTTAATTTTCATTTCCATCATTGTTAGTATTAGAATATTTTTAGTTGGATAAAATGGAGGGACAGTATACAGTCTATAAAGGAAAATAAAGTTTTGCATTCCTTAGATGAAAAGTCAGTAACTGGTGAATTAAACGCTTGCATGCTGATGTGAATAGATGTTAAACCCAAGCGTTCAAACCTCAAATCTGTATGAAGAGCATACGCTTGATCTGGGGGTTGATCTGTAGCCCCCTTCAGTTCAACCTGCGGTACCGCTGTGTACTGTACATACAGCACGAACGTGTTATTTTGAAATACACCACATTATCTTCTGTGTCGCATTAACATTGGAATGTTTTTTTTTTACAAGTGTCAAAAGAAGCGATACACAACATGTCTCCTCTATAACTGTTCAGTTTACAAAGAAATTCCACCAGAGCCTTACAACATTGTCCAATAATACTCATCTCGCGTCTAATTTTTAGTTAAGCAGGATTTGACCTACAGACCATAACAGACCAAAAAACAGAATCCACCTGCGATTCGGGTGTTAACAAAACGTGTTTACAAAGAAAGTGAAATACAGTAATACTACCACCTATATAGATACATAGATTTGGAAATTTAGATCCTTAAATTAATATCATGATTAATTTATTTAGATACATGTTTACATATTCTCGATTATAAAACAGATAATTCCGGTCCTGGAATCTGACTGGCTGACACCCTTCTGAAGGGGTACCATAATCTCTGGTATACGGACGCTGCAATTTCACTTGTTACTG